ATTTTACGTTCAATTGGAGCTTCTAAATTGCGATTTATCGTCTATTATTTGCTTGATAACTTCATTTCAAGTCAAATTCTATACTATACGCAAGGAGAACAAAATAAATTTACTTCAATGAGATTATATTCTTTAAAAAAGAGAACGTACATCTTTATTTTTATTAAAAAAAAAGGGTCTTTTTTCACTCGAGTAATTTCACTGGCAAGCCTTTTGATCTTCACTATGCAATCCATGCATTCTCCCCTTCCTAATATAATAAAACAACAGAAGAAAGAAATTCAAAGGCAAAAGGAAAAACAGCCCTCTGTAGCAAGTATGATAAACCTGGGCAGACAACCGTATAAAGCATACAAAGTGAAAAAAAAAAAAAACCTATGCACAATCACACTAATATGATGAATTGAAAGACCAGTAGATCACACAATTCCTGTTCTTAAGTGCTACCAAGCATCACTTTTCAGGCAGCCATGCTACTACTATATTACTACTGCAATCTCACGTACGTGTAAAATCCTGGTTTCCTAGTTATGCACAGAAACCTCTTGTATCCACAACTCACACTTAAACTTGACCTCTTCCCTTCTCTGCATTTTTAGACTTGATTGCACTGGAAATTATGCTCCCTTGCTTTTGTTTTCTGTTACTCTCTCTAGTACTTACAGCTCCCATATTTCTTTTCTTTGTATCCGCTCATCTCCTTGCAAGAACTCTTCTGATTCTAAGAAAGTTTGTCCTGTTCTTGTTGCTTATAGCCAAACTCATTTTTGCTCTTTACATTTCTTAAATTCTTGAAATTGCAATGAAAACCACACAAAAAGGAATTTACATCCTTGTCGAAGAAAGAGTTTTACAGGGTTCACAGCCTCACAAACAAATAAAGAATTAGCTATACTTCACACTGAAAGACTAATTTCTGTCCATGGAAATGTGGGAGCTGTTGGATTAATCAGTTTGGCCTTGTGCAGTCACGTCTGATCTCGCCCTGATTCCCAGTCAAGACTCCAACGCGGCCCAGCTTGGTGATGGCTGTGATAAAAGCTTTCTGGAAAGCAGCTTTGTTGGACGCAAATTGGTTGACGGTGGTCTTTGACCGATTATCCGTAAACAATGCTTGATCAGAGGTGAACAAGCCCTTTCCTTGCTGAAGATTTTGGAAATAAGCATTGTCAAAAGTATTAGGGGTGGTCGGATCCATGTCGATGGCAATTCTTGAGTCGACGTTTGTTGGGCACATTTGCCTTAGCTGCATGGCGTATTGCAGATTCAGTGTTGGGTCAATTCTTGTTTGAGGAGTAAAACTGTATATGCGCTTGGAGAATCTTCTGCAGTGGGAGAATCCAATTGTATGTGCACCTGCAACAAATCAAGAAATTGATAAATTAACCATGAATGTTATGAAGAAAAAATACGTCAATCTACTAGAGAAGCAAAGCCGAAATTTTGTTAATTGATTCTTGCAAGGAGGATTAAAATATTTGGAAATCAAATTATCAGGGGATTTCCCCCAAAAAAAAAAGGAAAAAAAATTCAAGGATCATTGGTGGCTTCAGAAGAAGAAGACCAAGCAATCTATTTCAAGATTTCCAGGAAACATATGAATCAGAACAATGATAGTAATGCTGGCTTCTATTTGTTACCTGATAAAGCAATCATATCAGTTTGGTCTAGACCATGACTAGAAAACAAGGCATTGAGCTGGTCCAGATTAAAGTTCGGCGACGGAAGCCTATGTTGTACACTGGCAATGGTAGATATTCTCCCATCACGGCGTCCCAATTCGACCGGATAAAATGGTCCCCCAGCCTGCATAATTAAACAAAATCAAGATTATTCATTCACAAATCACAATTCTGCTCGTTTTGATTAACAATGAGAAGCTTGTTATCAAGCGATGCTTGCGCCCTACTGCTTCAAATTTAGGAATAATCATACCAAGGAAACGACTTCACGGGTAGCCAAAGCCAGTATGTCAGCACATGAAACTCTGTTTTTGCACCGAGGATCGCTATCTACAGCTGCTTTGGCTTTGACAACGGTGTCAAATCCATCTCCGGCGAGCGAAAGATTGTCGGGGTGATCCTTTTCGGCGCTGTTATCAGGCTTTGCAATCATAATCGAAGCATCGCAACCCTGTACACAGACAGACGTCAAACCAAAATTTATCACAAAAGCAAGCATCAACATCAGCCCTGCAGAAAAAAGCACTCGTCCGCGCGTAATAATTGATGCGGGCCAAAAAAGTGAGAGAAGAAAAAAAAAAGTCGAAACTAGTAAATTGATCAGCTAATGAATTATGGATGGAATCTACGCGTACGTACCCTGACAAAGCAATCGTGAAAATAGAGTCTGAGAGTTGCCGGAGCAGTAACAAAGGTCTGGCTGAACTTCGTTTGGACGGCATTGCGGACAAGGGTTTCCACATTTGGGCACGTACTGCGATAGAAGTTGGCAGTGAGTTGAGCAGAAGCTGTTGTAATAATTATAACAAAGAGAGAAAGAAGCAAAGCAGACAAGCTTTTGCAAGGCATTCTTTTTGTTTTGCACCAGTAAATCAATATATATTTCTAATTAACAAGCATTGGTTATTTGGTTGTTGATGAAGAAGATGTGTATATATAATGAATCAGGAATCAATCATAACAGGGAGGAGCAGCTGTTTATAATAATAAAAATAATAATAACGTGGAGAGATTGAGGCAGATACAGTCTGGCCACTTCCTGATTGATCATGTCTGCTGGGATTAAGGATGTGATTAGGAGGTGCCATTTAAGAATTGGTGGATTTATCGCTACTTGCTGATCTTTTCTGTAGAAAAAGTTTGACAAGCATGTTTGCGAAAAGGAGGAATGATTGGACTTTGATTACGTGCCGGTGCATGAACCATGAGTGTCTCCATTTTCAACACAAGGATAAATCACGAGCAGGAGGCAGCATGGAAGAGAACAAAACAGGATCAAATAATGGACTATGGAAAGTCCCATCAAGAATGTGCTTTCCCTGTTGCTTCCTTGTTCCTACTCCTGCCCAGAGAAGTGAAGTGGGGTAGGAAAACTACCATACAAGTTTTTTGTATTCCTGATGGAGATAGCCAACCAATTAATCGTTTACAACTCCTTTTTTTTTAATAAACAAGTATCAAAAATTGCTTCTTGCTTTCATAATTGAGGTGGAGTAGTACATGGATAGGCTCAAGGTACTACCATACAAGTTTCAGCTAATTATAACTTCCTATATAAAAACTCTGAAACTGAGATACCACCATTATTGTATAAATTTTTTTTTTTTTTGGGTGAAATTGAGAAATACCATGTTCGTATGACTGGGATCCCTTTTGGCGACACAATAAAGATTTTGAGAAATGAAGGGCAACGATATTCTGGCACCTGTCCATCAAATGATCAGGGGCAGGCACAGAAACATAACATATGGGTATGAGAATAGATAGAGTTATACTCCCTCCGTTCCACTTTGATAGTCCTGTTTCTTTTTTCACACAGTTTAAAAAAAAGTAGTTAACTTTGTTGGAAAAGTAAATTTAGATTGCTATTTTCCTAAAATACCCTCACATTAAATAGAGTACAACTTTATGGGAACTTGAATTGATGATAAAAAAAGAATCAACTCTCATTAAATAGGGTAGGTTTATAGCAACAACAACTTGTATTGAATAAGGGTATTTTAGGAAAATGAAAATACAACTACATTCTTCAATTGGAAAGTGGACTGCAATTTGGGACAGACAAAAAAGGAAAACAGGACTATCAAAGTGGGACGGAGGGAGTATTAATGTTTTGGCGACCTAATCTTACTGGAGTATATATATATACTAAATAAAGGGCACTTCTCGTATTCACATGTTTGACAGTTATCGTCTCTCCGCATGTTCCAGCACTAGTTATTATATATATGCCGCTCCATGTGGATTTGCTAGCAATCAATGCGCAAATAATTGAAACTTTCACTGATATATATTATAAAAAGTATTAAAAAGATTAGACAGAGTTCAATACTTTGCATGTTTTTATTTGTCGTGGAACAATTGGGTTAAATCCATCTGTCAATTTTAGCTTGAGATGGGCCCGCACACACGTCAATCTGTCCTTGAGTCTCAAATTTCACCATGTATTTACTTTTACAATACTTATGAAACTATACCATTGATTTGTACCTGTACAGCTTGGATTGATTTAGCGGACCCAACGGTAGTTGATTTCATAGCAGTTTAGGCTTTAGATTTTTCTGACACAAAGATGATTTTCAAGAAAACAGAAGACAAAATCAACTGTCTTAGTCCACCGAATTGAGAGAGGAGGGAAGAAAACTACAATTTGGATTAGCATTGCCACCAGGAGGAGAATAGGTCTACATGACAGACAGCAGGAGCATGGCGCTCCCTAAGGCACAGGGACCGCTGCATTTCTCATCTAAAAGTCTAAACATGGCAATCTGACCAGGCTTCATGGACATATGCTTCTACTAAGAATGCACTGCCATTCATGCATTGAAAATTTATGCCTCGCTTGGAGTTTAGGCGAGAAAAGAAGAGGAAGGGTTAGGATTGTATTTTGGCTCGTTTGGGAGTCTTTAAGGGGAAGGAAAAAAGAGAAAATATGGAGCAAATCATTCCAAACATGCAAACCCTCAAGTCTAGCAAAATTAACAGTAAAATCATATAAATGTCCCAAAATTTACACTTTCTATAGCGTAGAGGATGGATAAAAACACACAATTAATAATTGAGAATGAATGAAAGAAACACGAGACACTTCAAGTTGATAAAATCATTCCATTTCCTTTCTTTTCTTCCAAATGAAAGGAGCCCAATATTTATTCCATCTAAACCCTTTCTTTTCTTGCCATTTAGCATGATGATGAAGAGGCAAACGTCGGTCACGAACTTGAGGCGCAGAACGAGGATTGTTGTAATTTTTAACTATTCTTACTGGACAATGGAGATGACACGCCCTTTGTCTTTTGTCACATTTGAATATGGGTTGACAATATACACATTAATATTATTTTCTGCACCTCTTCAATACCTCAATTTAAAGGCCCGATTTGATGCAGTCAAATTTCTACGCTGCTTGAGATAAGTTCCTCAGCGTGCAAATAGATACAACCCTACTCAAAAGCAGCTAAATTCATGAATGATAATAATAGCTTCATCCAATCGGGTCCCAACTCAAGAGTTCGGTTAAAACATAAATAATCAGGTTAAGAGTTCAGACACCCCTGATTACGCAAGGACCCGACTTGCTGCCTTTCCTAAATATATAACAGGATTGGCATCCAAACAGTCTCGTATCCAAATACTCAAAAGATTATTAGACAGTTTCTCCAACCTCCTACCCAAGGTAAACAAAATTAACCAAGGATAACACAGGAAAGAGTCTGGGACAGAGGTAGCCATTGCACTCCCAACAGTATACTTCAACTCAGCACCTGCAACAATCAGATTTTCTATTGGAGGTAAGGAACAGTGATTGTCAATGGAAATTAAGATTCCGATGATATCATCTCAAAGCGCAGATTTGTGCCTCAACCAACAACTTGATATGAATAATAAAGCCGAATGAAAACGTTGGTGTATACCTGTACATCATATGAATTAGCACAACCCATTTTTTAGCTGCCCTGAAGAACTCTCCGAGGATCAAGCTGCCCACTGCAGTAACTTGAAGGAACAGCAGAAAGCTCTTGCCTTCCTCTCCACTCCTCACCAGGCCTTAAAGTGATTGGCTTTTCAACAGCAGCCGCCTCCACACATAGCATATGCTTGTATTCCTCGTCCCCAAAATCAGCCATCGCCTTTGCTTTCTTCTCCCAAGGATTCCACACCACTGTACAAAGAAAATCCACAAAGATGCAACAGCTAATTACTTTCCCAGAAAAGGACCAGAACATCGGATTAGCGTGGGGGGTTGTAATGCGAGAATTCTCAACCTTGAAAGTTTATAAGAACACAAACTCTGCAAAACATCCAAAAAAAAAAAACACTAATACACTTCAGTAGCATGCAGCCCCTGATGCAATGTCAGGTGCTATAACCAAAACAGCAAAACAGTTTTATAGAAAGCCTATATATTGAAAATGACTATAGCAATAAACTGTGTGGGGACTCTTCTTGTACGTACTAGGCATTTTGGGTTATTGACTCTGAAGAAAGAAGGAATGTCCAGAACATCACTTGCAACAAAAACAATTTGACGCTAACTTGGGGTTGGATCCTTAGAAACTAAATCTTTTCCAGTGAGTAGAGAATCAAGAAAATTAGCTAGGTTTCAATGCACAAAATTAGAATCTACAAGAAGATGAAAACTTTCAATCTTACCAGCATCAGGAAGTCCATCTTTACGCAAGACAAATGTTCTTTTCTTTTCATGATCCAGGATTGCAATCTTTGTAGGTGTTCCAAGGTAGATCTTGTCCACCTAATCAACATGTATAATGGAGTTTAAGAGTATTTAATAATGCAGATGCAGGAAAGAACTGCAAAAATATCTTGAAACTTACTTCAGATTCAAAAGTTATTGCATCCCCTTGTTCAGTAAATCGCTCCTTATTCTGCAAATTATCAAGATAATCCAGAGTCTCCAATCCTTCAACACGAACTTCACTGCAATGAGAAACAAGGGGTGAATCCATCATGCTTTCACAGCAGAACGTCGCATCAATCGGTTACTCTTCCAATTTTGGGGTAAACACTTGACAAGGAAAGCTTCAAAAGCCAATTCAAAATTTCCATGAACAGTGCAGAACTCAGAACCACGCCACTCAGAAAGTAGAAACAACTGAAGATCCCAAATGCAGTTGACAAGGTAATCAAGAAAACATATAAGCCAACTTCATGGTTCACCTGATATCTGAAACTGAGAAATAGGTGTGATATGCAAATGTAAAGGTGAAGGGCTTCCCATCAGAGTTGGTATTTCTGATGCGGGATGTCAACATCAAGTCACCGGCAGGTGACAAACTAATCCTCAAGCGAAACTCAAAACTGTAAAACAAAATGCAAAAAAAGACATGTTTACCAGAATCAGCAGAAAGTATAATAGTAAGCTTAATCCAATAGACAATATCAATAGAAACCAATAATAAAAGTTACTTCCAACTCTGCACCTGTGAGACCAAATCTTCAAGTCTTCATCAGTAGGCTTAAGAATCAAGTCAACGAAAGCCTTAGGAGGGGTGCCAGTTGGAAAAGGAGGGGGGTCAGTATCAATGGTCCAAAACCTGTTTCTAGCAAATCCATGCTGCTCCAGAGAGCCAAGATTCGAGAACTGCTGACACCAAGTTTTCCTTATAACCGGGGTTAAAAGTAACCACACAAAACTGGAAACAAATGGTCTAAGAATTACATACTTGAGGGAAGCATATTGGAATGCCTCCACGAATGGCCTTTGGAGGTTTGAATATAGCCTGGCGATGTGTAAAGAAAGTCAAATATAATGAAACACAATAACAATTAAATGGGTCCAATTTGCTCAAAATGTTGCAGCAAAACAGCATAATTACTTCAAATCTCAAGCTCTTGACAAGGGATTTAAATAACAAGAAATCCACGATTCAATCATCAAAAATGGATCTGGAGAGAGTCAAGAAGACCATTATGGAAAGTTGGTGAATTTGTATATTTGATCTGTGCTACCGCTGTTTTTAACATTGAAAGTGATGGATGCTACCACTGTTTAACTCTGAAAGCAGACGAGTACATGCAAAAACAAGGAATTTTCCTGATGCAAATACATGTCATGGTGCACATTTTCTTACTTACCCATCATAAGCATGGATGAGAATCCCTGTCATGATGAGCATACTATGTCTCTCTAAGACTTTCTTAGGGGCCAAAGATACACAAAAAGACTAGCTACCAAACAAACCAACAGAACAGCTGCAGAGAAACCAAACATTACACTACCATCATCTGCATATGGGGAGAAAAAACAAGTATCACAATCATTAACAAACTTTGGCTTAATAATGATTTTTTCCATTTGCACCTCTCTTTTCAAATCTTCAACCATCTCTCAACATGAGCAAAACCATGGGTCACCAAATGAGATTTGTTTGACTTGTCTCATTACAGTACATCTTTCAACACACATGAAAGTCCAACAACTTAGTGCACAGACAACTAGATCACGAAGATATTCCTAACAAGTAACTGCAAGTGTTTATAAAGCTCTAGCCCCTATATACACAGCTAAATCATGTCCCTCTCCAAAGCTGTAGCTTGTCTTAATAGCTCAGCCTGCCTTTTTATGACAGAAACTAACAGGCTCACGACCTTCCCTTCTCTTCAGTTACCAACCGTTAAGTGTAAAGCACAAAATACTATTGTTATACCAGTAGAACCACATCCAGACTCATTCCTAACACTTTTGATCCCAAGAATCATTTTGCTACCCAGTTTTCAACCAACACTCACTATCACAAAGCCACAACAAATTAGGCTGTTAGTTATGTGCTTGCTCAAAGCACAAGACCAGCTCCTTAATCTCCAAATGTATTTTCGCAAAAGCATCAAAAAATCTAGAAGCTTTTTGCTTTTGACTGTTAACATACTAGTGATGCTTGCATAAAGTCCAGCAAAACTCTTCATGAAGCAGCCCACGTGATTTCCCTGATCTCCAGTCCTCAAGCAAGCATATTTCAGACTGAAGCAGTATTTTTGCCCTAATACAAATATCTTTCGCCCTTATGCTTGAACAACTGACCAAATTCTTAAGTTGTCATTCTATAAGCAAGAAATTTATTCAAAAATTTTTTCGTGAAAATTAATTACCCATAATCCACTCCAGAAATAGAATAGCACGAAGTAGGCACAGGTGCTTCCTGGACCATTATTCATGTCAGGCAAAGCATCTAGCCAACCTCCTCATTCTCCACTTATTATGGCCAAAAAAAATATAAATAAAAATCCCTGATGATAAACAGATTGTGTCCTCATCATCACCAATTCAAGCTTGTCAACTACTTTCACACAGGGTAGACAACATAACTTTTTTAGCACATATGTAGTTCCAATTGGTGATTTTTCAAGAAGAGAATCCAACTGAAAGAACTTTTAACCACCAATAAAAATGAACATGAAAAAAATTAATTTTTGTCACTTTTCCAGCTAGTAAGCAAACTATGGAGTAAGCTTACTAAAATCCTGGTGGCAAATCACAACACTCTGATTTTAAATGAGATTAACTAGGACAGAAAAGGATGAGAGTTCAATAGAACCTTGACATGCTACATATTGGGAGAACCGAGCAAACCACATTCTCAAAAACAAAGTCATTAAAACCTGATAACTAAGTTCAACTGAGTGCTCCATAATAGAAAGCAGGCCAACTTCCACCTAATAACTCCAAATATAGGATCGGCATACACATCTTGTCCATAAACAGGTTCTTATAGGAGGAAGCATTTTAATAGACAAAGTTCAAAGAATGAACCCAGTAAAATTACCTTGCTACTGAGAAAGAGCAACTCCTCTCCATGGTCATTCTTCCAAGATGTCACGTGACCCCCATACAGGTACACCTGTAAAGCAGCAAAAATTTTTGAAAAGCATGCAACCATCCTCATGATGCTCCATTGAATTACAGATATTTGACAGCTCAGAACGAAAAACATATCCTAAACAAAATATGTACATATTTATGAGTTATAAGATGGTCCCTATTTGATTTGGACAAAGACTTATTCTCACTTCTCAAGGGGATTGTATTAGCTCATTATCCTATAGCATTAGGTTTCTACCAAAAGATCCATCCAGAACTCCATTGTTCTATATTTTACTTAGGTTCTCATGTCAAACATAAATTAATTAGTCAATCATTAGCATCCTAAATAACAACCCAAATTACATTCTAAACTTAACTTGAATCTAAACAGGCTTCAAATAGATTCAAATTGAGTTAGTCCTAGGACACGATAAGCATGAAACCAGAATCAGTTTTCAGGTCCACAAAAAGGCTTGAATGCCAAGCCAAAAGGAAATCGGTATCTATTCATATTGTACTGTTGAACCCCATGACTTTGTATCATTTTGCAGCTGTCTGCTTTCACTTGCTAACCTATGCTTCTGTTTATAAATAAAGCGTGAGAGATATTTTTGGTGTAACAAAAGTTATGTCCACTTTTAATTCCAAAATAACCTTGGTTCATGGATCCATGTAAAGCATACAAATATTCAATTTAACAAATCAGATATGTAAATTCTGAAGCTGAATCAATGCTTCCAGCTCCATTACATCTCTTCCTTATTTGATTTAAAGGTATTGTTGGATAGCAAACATCTTTCATATAGATTACAAAGACGTGTAATTCCTACACAAGATGCATATAACACCATTCACATTTCATACCAAGCCTTCTGCCAAGCCTATGGTCTACAATCTACATGTTGTATCCTTAGAAACAAACGTGACAAATTCAATCACTGCACCACTCAGGCAATTCATTCAAATTCAGTAAAATCATCCACCAAAAAGGGATAATGAAAGAAAGTAGCATCATTTTTTGTTCAGATATTATTGATTTAATAACCAATCCTGGACTGCTACAATGAACTACACATAGACTGAACTGCTCAAGTGAAAAAGAAAACTGCAGTGCTGAATATATTTTGCCAATTATGCCATTTAGTAATCTCACTCTCAAGTCTGAAGCCAAGAAAAGGAATTCCAATTTATTCCCTTTCTACTTTGATTTCTCTTCCAAGATTAAAAGATGTAAATCACAACAATGACCATAGTAGTTATTTTAACTTCAATCAGCTCGGAAGATCATCCACATGATATTCCTACTCGACCAAAACCTGACGAACCTCGCAATTTCTTAAAATTACATCATGGGCAACTCTTTTCCATTGGATCTCCACAGAGCAGTCATCTTTATAACATGATCAGATCCATTTTCATTGGATCCAAGCAGCAACCTATCAATTACCATAACAAAAGAGGTAATCGAAAATGAAAAAGATCCAAAACTCATTTGGATATTCGCTCAATCTAACATTTCGGGAGCAAGTAATTGCCCAGAAGATTCATGTACTCAGTAACTCCACCCAATAAGACAAAAAAGGCAGCGAATCGAGACAAACACGTTAAAAAATCGCAGAATTACGTCACGAAATGGGCTCTTCACAAAAATGAATTACAAAAGCAGAAATGAAATGAAGAGTTAGAGTTAAACTTTACCTCAGCGGAGCTGCCGCGGACTTCCCGGAGGACGATTTTATCAAGGCCATTGATCCCTTTAGACCGCTCCACTGGGACCCTCTCAGGCGCAGTCAAGGCAGGTCCCGCCCCACTGGGGGTGGTGGCGGTGGTCGTCGTCGTCGTCGTAGTAGCCGCCGCCGTTGCCGGCACCGCCACTGCAGCCGGTGCGGTAGACGCCGGCGGCATGGTCGTTGGTGGCGTCGAAGACATTTAGTACAAATATAGCACTAGTACTAGATTGACAGATTTCCAAGCACCTTTGCTTCTTTCCCTGTAAGCTGGATCTTTTTTTCTTTTTCCTATATCTTTTCTCCAATTTAAACTCGTTTAACTGATGGATGGATTAAATGGAATGAGCATTAGAGTTTTAATTGATGGTACTAGTACTACTAGTATTTATTTTCATTTTCCCCTTTTGGGTTTGTTTTAACTTTTGTGTCAAGAATTCTCTGGGGGGTCTCGGGGCTGGGAGAGAAGGGGAAAATGGAAATGGGATTGGTGGAGAAAGTGAAGTGCTCCTACTACTAGTGTAGTTACTAAGCAAAAGCAAGCCTGGGTGAGGCTGGAGCAAGTGGGGGAAAATGGGGGGTGGGGAGGAGAAGTGGAGGGTTAAGCAAATGAATCTTCTTTTTCGTTTATCCAAAATAATATGATACTCACCGATTCTTTCTATGGTAATTAAGGAGTTTATTTAATTAATTACAAGTAGTATCATATTTGTGTGGAATTACCTACAAGCCCTTTTCTTATCTACTCCATTCTATGAGCACCATCAAACATTCATTAATTTTTTTTCCCCTTTTTTTTTCCTTTTCCCTCAATTGTCTTCACTTTGGTGCTAGAGGTTTCAAAACTACCAAGAAAAAAGGACAAAAAGAAGACATTTACTAAATTAGGACGGGGCAGCAATTTTAGAAGCCTCGGATCCAATTTGAAGCAAGGTAAAACTAAAACATACAAATTCCAAGCAGGTCATCCTATGCTATGTTTTTTTTTTTTTACGAAAACGATGAACCTATTTTACTCTACACTATAGGGAGGGGACGGGCCTGAAAAGATCCAAAAATAATTTGAAGAGAACTGAATCACCACCGAATCAAACAGGTGTACTACATACTCGTCTGAATTTTTTAAACAAAGCTCACCCCACCAAAATTTAATACTTTGATGATGGCCACCAGACCAAAGGCCGGTGATTGTCATCCTATGCTATGCTACTTCATAATAGTGGCAATTAAGTAGCGTATGATAGATAGTCTTGGTCGAACCAAGTGTTTTTTCGATTTTTGTCCATTATGTTGTTTGTATAAGAAACCATTAAGCAATATTAATGTGTCCTTTTGCATTTTAATATATTAATTAGAAGAGCTTCTGCAGAAATAAATTCTTTGAAATGTTTGGCCATTTAGACTAAAAAAAAAACAGTAAGAGTCACTAACGACAATAATGTCATTTGTTGAATTTGTGTATCGTACCTTTTGAGATCTTGAAAATATATAAATTAAGTACGTTTGCTTTCACATAGGAAATGATAATTTACTAACACTAACATTAACATGCAGGGGCAGGGCCACACGAACAAAGGTAACTAACTTCCTTCGTTACTTTTACTGGCGCCTCGCGCGTTGTTTGTTTTTTGGAATAATACAACTACTAGCTATTTGTGTATTGGTGGTACAAATGATCCTCAAGTCTAGAAAGTAGGTTTATGCATTACTTCCGAGAAAAGATTCAACTAGAAAGGAAAAGGAAAGATTCTAGTCGGTGAGTTTGCGTGTATGGACGTGACATTTTTAGGATGTTGATTTGAAGACACATTTTAACACATGTTTCTATAAAATAGTTCCAAAAAAATGAAATTAAAGGATGATTTGAAAAAGAAAATTAATTTTGAAACAGTGAAATTCCTTTCTCATCTCATGATAAATACGTTTATATTTAAATATATATGTGTGCGTGCGTGTTAGAGTTAGAGTTTTATAAATTGTCTCTAAAAACATCCCTTTTATGTTCCAAAATACATGATGAAGGGACTAATTAAATGTAAGCATACAAATTCCAAGTTTAATGGTATCGGTCTTAATGTATGAGAAAATATTCATTGTTGGTTGTAGTTGTTGCATTTGATATTTGAATGCGGTACATCGATTTACAAGAGATAAATAAAGTTTGAATATGTTGTTACTAACTTGATATTTTGAGCAATTTTCAATTTTGTGATGCATGACTATGTGAAAGCCATCATACTAGGTGCATGTTTGAAATAACCTCTTCCCAAAATTCCACACCATTTAAGAGTAAATGTCACATATCATCACTAAACCATTTGAAATTTCCTATTTTGGACATTAAACTTTTTATCTATCAAAATAGTCATCAAGCCACTTAAAACATACAATTTGTGACTCAAACATATATGTTCTCATTAGTTGAGAGACTTAAAAGGTAAAAAATTTTAATAATTGAGCAACTAAAAATATATTTTTTTAATAGTTAAATGACTATTTTACTTAAACCAAAATAGGAAATTCTAAATAATTTAGTGTCATTTTTGGCCATTAACTCCACCATTTAAACTAGAAAACCATGAGCATATCTTGCACAAGTGTCGCCTAATTATTACAATTTACGAATTCAATGAGCATATGAATTATAGGATGTAAAAACTAAATAAATTTTGAGGCTCCACCACAGACTATCTAAGATATTCTTGAAACTTCCATTTCACCCACTAGCATACCACCACGTGGGGCTCCCGGAATCATCCAATAATTGAACTTCAACCTCTGAAGTTGATCAACAAGGCACGAAAATTATCCATCCAACAGCCGGCCTGCCAATTGGAGCAGACGATATTGCTGCACTTCTCCCTCCACCCGGAATACTTTCTTGATTCGACTTCCTTTCCATCCCATTTCCGATTCGATCATCATTATGTGGGTTGCTCCGTTCAAAAGTAGCTTCCTAGCCAACCACCCTCTCACTTCAACTTTCAAACCCGCAAGAAAAACTTGTTTTACTACAATAAGTGCACTCACCATCTCATGCAGACAGAGCCCAGATCATGACCTCAACAAAGATTCCCCCAGGTTTAAGATAATGAAAAATCGTACCATTTCTTTGAATCTCTCCCTTCTTTTATTTTTGAAGAATTCACAAAGTTTAATTTGCAATGAATTTTTGCTTTTTTTTTTTTTGGGGCGCAGCAAGAAAATTGAGAACCAGCTGGGGAAATTAGCAGTTGTGACATTGGCAGCTGGGGTGCTGGCACTGGGGGCAGTTGATCCTGCATCAGCGGCTAAGTCTGGTGGGCGAGTCGGGGGACAGGCTTTTAAATCAGCAGCTCCGCGTCCTTCTTCTCCAAGAATCAATAATTCAAGGTAATTTACTCGAAACTGTGAAGCCTTGCATGATTATAAGTAGTAAGTACATTGTAGGCTCTTTACTGGATAACTGCAATTGCAATGTGGACAGAACTAAAGTTCATGGAAAATTTTGGAAATGTCAGTTGTTAATCTATGGAATTTGTACCATAAAATTGACCTGCTTATGCAATCGCGATGTCTACACTCTGCAGCAGTCGCCAGATAAGCAGTAGTACGTGGTTAATATGGTAGTTTAAAATGTTAAAAAAATTAGTATTCATCAATTCTAAATCGACGCCCCAATACATATATGAAAAAAAAAAAAAAACTGAAGTGTAAAGCATTTGAATTGAAATTTTGGTACAAAAAGGAAGCGCAACTTGGAGTCGGAGAGATTTTTGATCTGCCTTCTTTTGATTTTCTTTATTGGTGTCACAATCAACATCGGAATCACGACTCTAGATTTGGGGTGCATTTTTGGGATATTGCGCAGAATATAATAATACCAAATGGTAGAAGTGCGTGTTGTTTATGCTTTCAATTTTATAGTCTACATCCACCAATTCAACAATGAAAATCATTATTATGTTGCTATGTATCTGAGTTTGGTAATATTAATTAAAACTTGTTCTTGTTAAATTGGCAATCATTATTAAACTTGAAGTAGTTCCAATACTCTTGTAAAAAGTAATCGTTCTAAATTTTTAATTGCTTAATTGGGCCAATGTAGACGTAAAAGGGAATACCACCAAATTGTTTTGGAGATTTGGGGGAGGGCGAGAGAATCGTGCAATCTAAAGAATTCTCAGATTTACCAGGCCTTTTTCTAATCTTGTATGTACGAATTAAGCAATTAGATCGGCTGATAAAACTCTAGAAAACTTTACATCTTTTTGGTTTTCAACTTATTGTTTGTCTATAGCTGTTGAGAACCCTAAATTGCTAATTTACGTCTCTTCTTCTAACTTGCATTTGTAACAATACCCGGACTAAAAAGGTTAAACCACGTTGCAGTCTTTCTCAGTTGTAGCAAATAATACTACATGTTTTAACAACTGCTCTGATTTAACCTGTTCTTTTAATTATAGCCAACCGCCTCGAGTATGCTCTTAAGACGTCCCTAGATGTTGTCAGCATGCTTCGAATCCATCTAATATTCCTATACTTCTTAGACAATTTTGCATATCTTTAAATTCAGAATTGCTGAAGGAAAATCCATACGTTGACAGCATAGTTCTCGCGTCTTGGCATTCAATTCAATACGTTACGTGCAAGTAGTTAGTAGTCGCTGCTGCGTAGATCTGGTGATTATAGCAAGCTTCATTAGTTGACACTATTTTCATGAGCATCCAACAACGTTTGTTTGTTTTATACACAAGGAGAGATCAGGAAACGTTTATTTACAGATGATGAAAGCATGCATCTTTGCTGTTTTTTTGTACTGTCATTTGTCTAATCCTTGACTTGGATGGGATGAAAATGAAAGGATTCCAAATATTAAATAGGATTGGAACTTGAAAGCTTTGTAATACTAATAGTAGAATATGGCAACTTAACAGAGAGTGGCGGCCGGTGAGTTCATGATAGGTGAAACTTTTTGATTTTTGTGTACGTCTCATCACCTTGGTGCAGTACAAACTTTATAGTAGTAATTGGCTTTGAGTATTTTGCACGAATTGTGGACCGTGGATCGGTATTTATCTGTTTGGTAGAAACTAATCAATATTGCTCTATCTTTTAGATTTGTTCTCTTTTCCTCCAAATCCTGCAATCGATCGGTTGCTTTCAGTCCCCGTTTGTTTTTCTCCTCTGGTCTTTTCAGTTCTCCTCCCGTCTTGTTTTCTGCCCTTTTTTCCAGCCTCGCCCGCCTTTTCCTCCCAAGGGAATACTTTTGTATCAATCAATGAAAGTATCATCCGTGACGTATACCAAACCTCAGTCAAATTATTAATTTTTGTGTCAGCTGAATGGCTTCAGATCTCATTTTTCTCTTTTCATCGTCTATATCTTACCATATACAAAGCATCGTCTACATCTTGCTTTTAGTGATATATTTTTATGAGGAATCCACCAGTTGTTTCAGCTATTACGAGGAACCCAGCCTCGATAATGCTTCGCTGAATAAGTTAACATGCTTCTTGGTTGCAGGACCAATATTTATGTAAACCCACCGGTTGCTCCTCCCCTCATCGGAGGATATGGATATGGGTTCGGAGTTCCATTTTATGGTGGTTGGGGCTGGA